TTTTTTTTTTTTTTTTTTTTTTTTTTTTTTTTTTTTTTTTTTTTTTTTTTTTTTGAGATAGCGAGCATTCCACGGCTTTCAGGATATTTAGCTATGGCGTCGTTAGGGTTCCCTAAAATCGAAACTATCATTTTAAAGACAGTTCCTAAAAATAAACTTGAGTGTATTTAATATTCAAAAAGAAATCTCGCCCATGTATTGAAAGAGACAAAATATTATACCAATGTTTATTAATCCAGCTAAAAGTTCAAGCAGTTCCAATTTTTCAGGTAAAATCACTCGCGCACGCATCAGTCACGCACACAGACACAGCGCGAACAAACAATTGTACTTTGTGGCCAACATAAGTCATCGAGAGAGTGATTTTGGTGAACTTAACCCTTTCACGTTCGGTTTATCAGCTAAGATTACGCGCTTCCCGACGTTGTGAGGCCGCAACTTCCTAACTTTGCTGACAGCTGCAGCAGAACAGAACGCAAAAGTTTATTTATACTCACGTCTACATGTATAGTGGTGCGTACAAAGGCAAGGAAATACAATTGTAGAAGCATTGAGTACGTTTTGCGCTGCCTACACAGGGTGACACGAAAGTATTTTTTATTGATTGTGGGAAACTTCTAGAACTAGAACTTGGAAATATAAAATAAATTTGGAATATTTCAACTCTATGGGAGTGCTGGAGACGTATAATTTATTTTATTTGAGTCATAAGATTAAAGAGTTGGCTTTCTCATCTCAAGATATACTTTCATCGGGATAGCAAGTGTTTTAAGGCGAATTAAAATAAGGTTCTGAAAGTTTTTACTACGATAGTGACAGAGCCAGAAAGCCATAGAACGAGAGAGACAAGGATATTGACAGCGATACTGAAATTGACAAAGAAAGTGAGGACGATAGAGATAAAGATACTAGACAAATACTGATTTTGGATTTACCTATCTCTGGGTACCACAGATCTACAATTATTTTTAAAATTATTTTCGATTTTAAGCCAAAGAAATACTTACTATGAGGTCTAGATCTAGAAAGTGTTATACAAAATATAAACGAAAAACTGTACGTTTTTATTAAATAGACACCCTGTATATGAACATGCAAACTCATCGCTGCAATGTGTTGCCAGGCAAGCCACCACGCTGATATCTCCATATGTATACAATGTTGCAGCAGAAAAATTGGTGTGAAAATTGCACGTTTCGTATGCTCTGCGTATCAGTGTGGTGGCAGTGTGGTGGCAGTGTGGTGGGTGTGTTGGTATGTGATGGTGTTGGCGATGGCAGCCGCCTCGGTTATCATCATAAATCATGTTTTTAGTTTTCACACTCTTCCGTGGCGCGCATGTCGGTCGGTAGGTTTGTGTGCGTTTTGCTCGGCATTACACTTTTTGGTATTTCAGTTGTGTGGCAACATTAATTCTATCAATTCTTCATGCTGTCTTTTTTATTACATGCAATTTTTTCAGCACGATTTTTTCCGGCTACTACCCGTACGGCAATTTTTCGCGTGAGTTTTGACCACAACAAACTTGCAGCATTTCGATTTTCGAACATTTGTACTGTGTATAGATAGGGCGCTGAGTATATGTGTACGTTTATATGCGTGTGTGTGTGTGTGTGAACAATGCTTTATGTGCTTTGTTTGAACTATGAAATTGTTTTGTCGCTTGAGGATTACTGCTGTTCGGTGCTTGAGTTTTACTGTTGTTGTACGCGATTGAATTGCTCGGGCTATGAAATATTGTTTATGCAAAGTTGTATGTAGAACATGATAGTTTTATGTAGATTTATGTATGTATGTATACAAGTTGCAACAAACATAAATGTATCAATAAATATTTGGAAAATTTTCTATTTAATATTTAGGCGGATTTTTATGAAAAATCCGATATTCTTGGTTTTATAGATTCAAAAAAGCACGTAGTTTTTAGAATTAGTCTAATTGAGAACCAGTTCAAGCATTGAAAGTTGAAATTGACTTCAGTTTAAAAAGAAGGAAGGTTTCGCTGAATAAGCAGTTAAGAACTGTTCTGATATGAAAAAGAGTAATGTGAAACTTACAGGAACATAAAGATTTGATCCCTCGGATATGCTAAAAATTTAACTAAAATATACGGGAATTTAATAGATTTGTATCAGCCGTAGATTACTGAATAACATAAGCTTTCGTTTCAGGAATCGCAAGTGTTTCATTAATAATTGAAGTATGGTCATGAAAGTTTGACAGGGACAGAAGGTCAAAGGACGGCTATAGGAAAACACACCCAAAGCAATAGAGACACCGAAAGCGACAGAGAAAGTGAAGAAGATAGAGAAAGGGACAAAGACAGAGACGGAAAAGGAGACAGAGACTAAGACTAGGAATAAGACTAAGACTAAGACTAAGATTAGGACTGAGACTAAGACTAAGACTAAGATTAAGACTGAGACTGAGACTGAGACTGAGACTGAGACTGAGACTGAGACTGAGACTGAGACTGAGACTGAGACTGAGACAGAGACAGAGACTGAGATAGAGACAGAGACAGAGACAGAGATAGAGATAGAGACAGAGACAGAGACAGAGACAAAGAAAGAGAAAGAGAAAGAGAAAGAAAAAGAGAAAGAGAAAGAGAGAGAGAGAAAGAAACGCAGACACAGACTGAAACTGAGA